ACATACGCATACTCATGCACGTACTCATACACATTTATCACCTCATGCTTTGAGCTAAACTCTGTGCTTCATCATCGTTTTCCTGCTGCAGGCTGAAATCAATGTGGAGAACGCAAACCCAGAGAGTGCAGCCCTCTGCGGTCTCTCACTTTGGCAGAGGCCATTTTTTGCCTCCAGTTATGGAAGCAGGGGCACGACGAGGGTTGGTTGTAACATTTCCCGGCCAGTCGACATTGATCCTCTTGTGCTACAGAAATGGTGTTACAGCCCACCGACGTGAATCAAAGATAATGATCCGCCAAAAGAGAGGCTGTCTGAAGGGTTAAGGAAACGAAGGGCAATAAAAGTGAGAGAGGAAAAACGTCAAGCATATAAAAGTTGCATGGACGATGTGAACCTGGCCGCTGGCTCTTTGTGCTCCAGAGAGAACCAATAAGGAATCGATATTGTAAATGTGAATGATTTAGAGTTCACTAGCAGCTGTGATGCAATGCTCAATGCACGGCTATAAATTAGCTCTTAGAGAAGTGGAGCCATGGAAGGCTTTAATGTAGCACACACCCACACACACCCACACACACACACACGCACACACACCCACACACACCCACACACACGCACACACACCCACACACACGCACACGCACACACACACACGCACACACACACACACACACACACACACACATAAGCCATGTGATCATTGTAACCATGCAGAAAGAAGCAAGAGGCTTCTGGCTTGCCTGCGTTAGCTTTAGGCTCTTAATAAAAATTCAAAAATTACAAGAAGGCTCCAAAAAAGAAACTAATAATGTTTGAATCATGCCTGTATATTGGCATATTTCACTTCTTCTCTTTTTTGGTTAATTTTATATATGCCACCATCTTGTTGTTGAGGCTGTATTTTATTTACTCCCATGCAGGCCTTTCTTTGACTTAAACTATAAATCTGGAACAACAAACAGGTAAGATCAACTCCTCGTTTCAAAAATCACACACACACATCCTCAGTGTTTCCTCAGGAGCTGCATTTCCATTCTGCAGCTCAGGGATTTAAATATCTCACGTTCCCAGAGGAATTAAGTTCATCTAAAGGAGGGGATTATGGAGAGAGCCTTACACCTATGTGGTGTCGGGTGTCGGCCCGCAGATCGCAACAGGAAGTGACACCTCGTGAACAGGTGGCAAAACTATTCATATCCCTTCAAAAAAATGTTACATTAGGACTCAGTGTATTTTATTTAACAAATGCACAACGCCATGTCAAACATCTCGTATTTTCCTAAAGATAAAAGTCAATTATTTGAATTCCTTTCTTAGACAGAAAGATAGCTCATAGAGTGAGAATGTTTGGAAAGGGTTGTATTTTTTATTTACAGGAAAAAATAAGAATTGAAATATATCAGTTAACCTGAGAAAAGTTTATTTAAGAGTGTGTTCAGGTCCCTTTTATTAAATAACAGGGAGTGTTATGTTACCTGATTCACACTGAGTAACTGGCCAGCCTTTCACGAGGATAAGAGTCTTTTGGAAAAGCTCTTCCTGCCACATTAGTTTAACTTTAACTGGAGAGTTCAGTGTTTATTTGTGAGGCTCGGAAAACCAGAGGAGAAGCAGCTGAAAGGAAAAAAAAAAAAGGCCCGCTGGCGTTTTCTGATTTACTGATACCTTAATCCACCCGATGCTTTATTTATCACATGTGCTCGGTGTTTGTGGGCGTCGAAGGAACAAAAGCACTTCTGGTTTTAAACTCCATCGAGGCTGGTTGGTAATGAGCTGTCTCTCCAGGCGCTCCCATCCCTGTTCACTCTGAAACCGCCACTGTCTGGCTGCAGGGGGACATCCGAGACTGCTTAGTCAGCGCCGATGGATGTGGTGCAGGAAGAGAAGAAGAAATACAATAAAAAATACAATAAAAAATTGAATAGCTGTCTGAATATTCAGCCACACTCTCTCTGTGTTCCTCCGCTCAGCTCCTAATTCCTCTGCTGCTGCTTTGCTGCTGGCCTTGCTCCTCTCCTCTCGTTAGCCGATGTCTGTGGGCGGACGGCGCCGCTTCACTGACCCTTGACCCCGCGGAACACCACTCATCCCGTCTTTCTCCGCGTTTCCATCCGACTCGCAGCACCAGATCGCTCTGCTGCAGCGTGCGAGCGTTCAGCCAGGGGGCAGGCGTGACGTTTTTTTTTCTTTAGGTTTCAGAGAAGCAGCAGCAGTGCGCCGCTTCACGTCAGTCTTACGGGACTTGCTACAGAGCTGCTCTAAAACGCCTCAGGCTCTTCAGTCAGAGGGGAAATGGCAGGTTCTGGAGGCGAGTATTGACATGCCCTCATCTTCTTTACTTAACGTCTCACAAGCTTAGTTTTGACTGAAAAGCTTTAGAAGAGCTGCATCGTTAGACAAGCTGCTGAGAGCAATATGGTCACTCTGGAGGAGATGCAGAGATTCTCAGCCCAGGTGAGTCTGCGGACAGAACAAGTATTAGTTTTTATTTAGACCTGTCCGTTCTAATAAACAACCAATTGAGAACATCTGGCAACAGTTACTAATTGCTCAGAAGAGAAGTTCTCCATTTGCTTTGCTGGATAACTTGAATTATTTCCAAAGGAAAGTTGGGCAAAATCTACAAAAATGGCAAAGAAATTCCTCAAAGTGGTTCAGATCATATTGTTTATGTTGTGTAAATTCACAACAAATGCACTTTACAAAAAAGGTCCGATTTATACACCGAAATGTGTCACCGGTTCAATCCAAACAGAATCAAAGACATTTCTAAACATCCCAATTCGTCACAAGTAATCATGTTGATTACTTAGATATCAAACTTCTATCCTCCTGGAAAAAAAAGTTTAATATCCAAGTAAACCCAGCAGATTGCATCGAGCCGCCAACTTACAGCAGTCGCTCCTCCTAACAGTTGGCTGGTCGATTAATTCATTGACGTCGTGCTAAAAGTGAATTTGATCAACAGTAGAGAACAAAAATCCCTTTTAGCAGGAAGAAACCTTCAGCAGAACCAGAACCTGGTTGGGTGGAGCCTTCTGCCTCCACCAACTGGGGGTTTGTGAAGTCGGACCATCCACACACACATAAAAACACAACAACAACAAAACAACGGTCCTGCAGGACTTTCCATGTCAAAGTGAAAGCAAAAAGTTAACGGCAGCAGTCGCTCCTTTAGTGACCTCGTCAAGATGTACACGTAAACTCTGGCCCAGTTGTAAAATTCATAAACTGATGACGCAGAGCCCGGAAGACAAACAAAACCACGGCTTCAGATTTCTGACAGGAACATGTACATTGAAAACGATCTACGTTTTAGTTCCACTTCACAATTGCACGCTGGTCTATTGTAACGTTGTGTTTACGTGTGTTAAAATGTGTAGTTCCCATCTCCCTAAATCAGTATGTTTTGCTTTGCACATGAAACCTGCTGCTGATGTTCACATTGTGAAAGCAGCGGCGAGGTGATGTGAAACAATGGTCTCAGTCCTCTCTGTAAAATGAACAGCAAATCAGAGGAGCTGCTCACAAACAAACAAACTGAAGAGAGATAAAAGATGAGAATGGGCAGGGGGGAAACTCCAGGACATCTGACCATCCCTTTGTTTCTCTCCCTTTGTGTTAAACTGCAGTCTGAATGAAGTGCGTTCAGTTTAGAGGTCCGACAGCCAGAACCCTCCAATTAAACCTTTATTTGCTCCCAATAAAACTGCAAATAAAAAGCCAGATGGGACGCATTGTCACTGTTTACATCCTCGGAAGGCGACGTAGGGTTGAGAGAGGCAGGATGAGGAGTGAGGAGAAAAAGGGGGGGAAGGGGAGTGAGATGGGGCAAGAAAGGAGGGGAGATGGGAGTATCTGTGGGAACATAATTAAGTCCAGGGTCTGGCTTTCTGCAGGCCTGCGGCACACTGCTCTAAAATGCTGATTCAGTACACAGATAGACCTAGCAGTACAGGAGGCAGAAGGGGTGGGGGCTGGAGGCAGCTGTACAGAAGAGATGCAATGAGGCGCTAAGGAAAGGAGGGAGGCGTTGCAAAGAAAGACCTGCAAAGCTTTAACACGACCAAAGTCAAGCTTCTAAGTTGTCCGTTAAAGAGGACGCAGTTATGGATCTGCAGTGTTAAACTTTAACGTTTTCTGCAGCCAAATTTTAAGTTCATCAAACATTGAACATTTTTTCCAGCTGCTTCAGAGACAGCAGCACAAACTCCCGGTCTGCGCTCACAGAGGAGGACACTGACACTCAGAGGCTCAAGCGTGAAAGTGTCTGTTGCTGCAGGACGCCCTCCCTCCCTCCCATCACAGCGCAGCTCCTCAGCTCTCTTTAAGAACCAGACTGGAGCGAACAGAGCAGTGAGGACCGTTTGGTTTGAGTCTCGGGTGCAGAGCAGAGGGGTTAGTCACAGTTTAAAGTCGTCGGTCTGTCGCCGGCCTGGAGGAGCAGAGCGAGTCCACATCTATAATTCATCAGCCTGGCTGCCGGTTGGACCTGAGACCTTACACAGTGGGGGCTTCTTACTTTTTTAACACTTCTTTCTGATTAAACAGCAGTTTTTCTTGTCATGACAGTTTGGACAAATTGTGCTTGTAAGAAATTTCGATGCAGATTTTTGTTTTGTCAAAAATATTGATTCTTGTATTGTTTAGTGTTGTGAAATCTGGGCAAATATAAGTCAAGAAGTGTTCATTTATGCTCAATATTGTTTAACTGACCCAAGTAAAGCACATTAAAACATATTTTTCTCATCAGTTTTTTCGTCTCTGGTTGAACTGACGTGAAGAGGGAAAAAAGCTTCGTTGTTTCATCTAAACTTGGTGTAATATGAGATAAAATAAAAACAACAGTAATGACATCAATGTGCCTTCCTCTTCAATTGATTACCAAACGTAAGTAGAAAAATCTACATTGGGAAGTTATGCTTCAGTAATCCAGGATCATAGTGAAAAAAAATAAATCAACATCCGAGGAACAAACCACACATTTCACGCTGTCATTATTTACTGAATAAAAAGGTTTTTTTAATAGTTTCTATCCATGGAAGTAAAGAGATTTTATTTTCTGCACAGCTTGCTCAAAGTCTAGTCACAGCATTTCAATTCGGTTGAGTTGTGGACTTTGACTGGGACATTGCAGCACATAAATTTGCAACTGTGTGTCCAGTTAATAACCCATCTTCTGCAACTGCAGGAAAAAAAGCTGTTATTCACTGAACCATTGACAAGTTATCTATAAGTTAAACTTTCAGTTATCAATACAATAATCAAACTGCAGAGGTTTTCGATTGGATGCACAAACCAGATGCATTCATCAATCGGCCTCTGGTAAATTCAGCACAGTGCGTCGACCAGATACAACGTCTTCTAATACCTGAGCACATTTAATTCATAAACATCCATGATACAATGATTCCCACAAAGATGTCCTCCTCCAGCTTCAAATGACTTTTAACGGAAACGGAGGAGTTTAAAATAAAAAAAACAACAACAAAAAATAAACATGCAACAGCAGCTTCAAACTCAGCTGGGGTTGAATGAAACCAAATGAAAGCAGCAGAGGGTTCAGGACTCAGGAGGGCGAGGCGTCAGCCGTGTCCGTTGGCCTGGTTCTGCTCACATGGGCTGAGATCAGGTTGGGCCTCTTCTTTTGGCAAAAGACCCCAACTCCTGAGAAGGGCGAGGCGCTGAGCCGGGGGAGTGGAGAAGTACTCCTTCTGTCTCTCTGAGTAGGTCTGTCCCACAGGGACTATGTCTCGGTATGTCCAGTCCTAGTGGTAAGGAGAAATTGTAAAATGTGATCGTTAAAAAAAAAAAGGCTTAGAATAATCTAACGTTTATTTTACCGTTATGTACCAAGCTCACCATAATTGGTCAGGGATTATGACATTGAAACTGATCAATTTCTAATGTCTGGTTCATGTTTTAGGTGCCCACGTTTAGGTGGACACCGGAGAAATTCCAGAGTTTCAGCGAAGGCAAAACTGTCACATGACTGCTCTTTTATCTAAAGGTTATCTGTCTGCAGTTGTTTGGATTATGTCAGATTCATTTTTTTGGTGCGTGTCTTTAAAATGGCTTGTGCACCTGCCAGTGGAAGTTAAAGGCCTCCAGCAGCTTGATTCTGTCTTCTCTGGAAGCAACGCAGTCCGGAGGATCGGGCTGCACCAGCTCAGAGCCCACCGTCACATCCTCAAACACCAGCAGGGCCCGGATGGCAAACCAGCCGCCGAAGCTCGGATGGATGCAAACTCCAAACATCTTCTGCCAAGCAAACAGACGAAACCGATGAACTTTGAGGTGGAGAAACAGCGACAACAAACCTTTATTTGTTTTGACAAACAAATCGATGGTATTACTCTTGCGGCCCAGGGCTGGTCTGTGACGTCAGACTGCTGGTAGTAGAACGCCGCTCCAGACACGTGCGCAGCAGTCTGAGCCAAGAACTTTGGCTTCCTGCTTGGCAGCAGCTCGTAGTCGTACCTCACATCCACCTTCAGTTCTGGAAAACTCTGAGGGAGAGAAGGAGACGATATTTAGAGGTCCTAAATAAGTCAGAGATGACAAGAGCGAACCGATATAAATGTGCGGAACGCCAACATCTCCATCAAGCAGTAGATGACCTGTCTGTGTCAGTGCCTGTAGGTCTTTAAGACAAAAGTTTGGAAGGATGCAAGGAGTCCTTACAACATCATTTACACAACAGTTTGGTACATATTCTGCTTTATTGCTACGTCTCCTTCTCTGATTCTTGAGTCATATAAGAGACTCAACATGGGGATTTGATCAAGCCAAGTTAATTCGCACAACTCAGTTCAGTAATAAAACAGTTCCAAGTACTGTGCACTATAAAACATAATATAGAAATCAATTATGAAATAAGCAATAATGAAAATTATTATTTTGATTATAATAATCATATACCCACAGGCCCTTCTATAGCTCACCTCAGTTGCTGCTTTGATGGGTCCGTTAATAAAGAGCAAAATGTATTCCCATCACTAAAACCTGTTCCAGTTTTGTCATATTATGACCAGAAAGTTTACTGTATTTTACTGGAATTTTAGGGAATAAACAAAAAAAATAGCATATATTTTTAAAGCAAAAACAAATGACACAAGATTTTCATGTTTTTTCAAATAAGGTAAAAAGTGTGGTGTGCATTTGTCGTCGGCCCGTTGCTCTGATCCTTCACTTCTACTCTCACCTGTGAGACTGCGGTGGAGACACAGTGCCGGACACACTGGTCCACCGGGTCGGATGGCTTGTGGATGCTGCTGCGCTCCAAGAAGGGCAGGAAGGCTTGTTCAAACATAGCAGGAGTGCTGAGCACCACCACGGCCAAGGCATCATCTGGGTAAGGCAGGTGAAAGGAAGGAGGCAACACTGAGTTATACCAGCCTACCTACAAACATGGAGGAATGAAAACTCCGATAAGAGCAAGCAAGGCAGGAAAATATGGACAAGCTAATGTACAGCAAATTTGAAGCAAATTAGCTGTACATGTAGCAAAATATAAATAAGAATTAAGTAAAGCTAAACACTGATTCAAATTGGAAGCTGATTCAACTAGCCAGGACGCTACCGTACCTTTAGGGGGTGCACTTCAAACCCTAGTTTAGTTAAACAGCTGCTTAGTGGTCCTATTACACCCTCCACACTGGCAGAGGAAGCCGCCATTGTTGCGTTGGTAACGCGCGGCATGGAATTGTGGGATATGGAGTTCCTTTGCGAGGCACATCGAGGACTTTACGCCATGTTTCCGGTTGTTTCTGCTATTTGTGTGAAATACAAACGTATTTTATAATACAAAAATGATATAATACGTCGCGTCGTGTATTTACGGAGTTACAATTGGACTTTGTGCTCTTTTCTTACTTCTTAGTCATAAAGTAACTTGTGAACAACAATACCCACAAATACTAGTTGCTTACGCTCCTCAGGAACTACATAGTGGTTTCCCACAAATTACGGCGCCCCCTTCTGGAGGAAAGCAGGCACTACGGTTTGACTGAGTCAGAAATCAACCAACTTCTGCGGTAAGTAAAAACTAAATCTAACGGGTTACATCTTTCAGGTATTTTACAGGTGATATCTACATAATTTGCACTGTGAGCTATGTTACGTATTTGGAGCAGGCGAATCTTGTTTTGATTGTCAAGTGAGCGCTCTACGAACACGATAAAGTGTGTTTTGGTGGAACTAAAAGCAACTTTACAAGTGTGCTGCAACAAATATCTTCATGTAGCAGCTGCTGTTTTGGAAAGCGAAAGAATCCGCTGGACAGGGAGTAACATAAGAGGAACTGGCTGAAAATGTACAATTATTTCTTCTTTTTTTTCTGTCTTTGAATCCTCAAATTTTACTTCTAAATTATTTTTATAACTGTTCCTATTTCCCTTTTTGTCAAACTTACATTTTAAAAATGTTTTGTATTTTTAAGCGAAAAATGCTAATACTATTTTACTATTTTATGATGGCAAGTACAATTAATCTATTTTAAAAAAAACTAAACAAGGCCACGGCTTTGATAACACTTTCATTTAGCATTGGTGAAGGTTGGCCAGCAGGTGTCGCCAGAGCTCAGGATATTTCATTAAAATGGCTGATGAGTAACTATCAATAGGGGCAAGGTCTGTGTGTGTGTGTGTGTGTGTGTGTGTGTGTGTGTGTGTGTGTGTGTGTGTGTGTGTGTGTGTGTGTGTGTGTGTGTGTGTGTGTGATTGCTAAAGTCGTCTTCAAGTCCGCTCAAGTTTTGGCAAAATCAAGAACCGCCTTCAACACGAAAACTTGACGCTCTGAAGTCAGAACAGTGTTGTTTCGCTCCACAGTGGGGTTTCAAACAGAGTATCCTCTCAACGGGACATGGAACAATTATATATTCATTTCTCACTAAGATATTTATTTATTATAGGGCTGCACAGTGGAACAGTTGCCTTGCAGCAAGAAGATCCTGGGCTCGATTTCCGTCCCCGGGGTCTTTCTGCACGGAGTTTGCATGTTCTTACTGTCCATGCGTTGGTTCCCTTCGGATCCTCCGGCTTCCTCACACAGTCCAAAAACATAATCTCTCTAGATTCTCCTTAGGTGTGAATGAGTGTGTGTGTGTGTGTGTGTGTGTGGTTGTTTGTCCTGTCTGTCTCTGTGCAGTCCAGCGACTTGTCCAGGGTGAACCCTGCCTCTCGCCTGGAACGTTAGCTGGAGATAGGCACCACCCTGACCTCCTGACCCCCAGGGACAAGGGTGTTAGAAAATAGATGGATGGATAGATAATATATATATTTTAAATGTCATACTTTTTCAGCGCAACATAGAACTAAAATCATATTTGATATGTGCGAATACCTCGTGTGCAATTAGATCAAAACGTCCAGTAATGTAAATTCAATTGAATCATGACCATTTCCTCAGGTTCTGGGTGAAGTCTTCATGGATCTTATTTGATTTTGTGTCGCTCTTAAATAAACTCATAAAACAGACAAAACTGGGAGTTTTTCTGGATTCTCATTTTGTCCTGATTCCTGCTCTGCGTCGAGCAGAAATCAAAGTGTTTCGCAAACACTTTCAAGAATGCAACAACAAAAACGGGTCTAAATAAAGAGCTCCTTGCCACTACGGGGTAATAAACTAATTTATTTCCCACTTCCTCCCCATCAGACGCGAAAGTGGAGGTATTTCCGGTCCCCGCAGTGAACGACTTTTAGATAAAGGGGTGGCGGCACTGTTCTCTCTCATGTATAAGTCATTTCACTTTGCAGGAAACGTCTATCAGACAGACGGACAGAGCGAGCGGCGGCGTCCAACACGGACACGCAGACCTGCGTTGGACACGGAACACGTGGCACTGCTGCGGCGGAGAGAGAGAGAGAGAGAGAGAGAGAGAGAGAAAGAGAGAGAGAGAGAGAGAGGAAGAGAGAGAGAGAGAGGGAACAACAGCGGCAGCAGCGACTCTCCTTCCTCCAGTCCCTCCAGCCACGCGTCCACAGGAGCTCCTGCTGGTGAACCAGACCCGCTCCAGACACCCAGCCGCGCGGATCCTCCACACGCTGGAGGAAAGTCTTCCACCGGACCGCGAACGACACACAGCGCGAGGGAGGGAGGGACGTCCTGCCTGAGACGCTTTTCAGAGAAAGCGATACTCAACTCCGCTCGCTTTCTTTCTGAAGAGGTGATGATGATGAAGATCGAGATGATGGAGGCCAAACTCTGGTTTGCTCTTTGCGCGCTTTTGCTCGTCAACATGGGGTCCGCTAATGAAGGTATATTATTACTATTATTATTATTATTATTTATTGTTCAAATAGTGTCACTGCTGTTTTTACTGTGTCACCGTCAGGGGCGCCTCTAGAAAGTTTTGGGGCCAAGAACAATCCTAAGGTGGCACACCAAAAAAAAAAAAAAAAAACACCAACAATCTTAAAACACAACAGAGTATCATTACCTGAAGCTAATGACGCTCTTTAGCCTCACTTTTAACTTTTAAAACTGACTTGTTTTGGACCTGATGTCATTTGAGGACAAGCAGACATTCGGCGTTTCTTCTAGAACTAAAAAAAGAAACTAACTCAACAGAACAGAAGCAGTTTGAAAAACAGAAGAAAAGTGTGAAAGTGTGGAAACTTTTGCTCGACTTGATTTGGTCGTTCTGTTGAAGTTAATGTATTTATGTAGGCAAATAGCTAAATGTTTCAGTTCTCCAAAACTCGTCGATTGCTCTCTTGCATTCATGTCATCATTATAAAAGTGCAAATGTCCCCCTGCTCCACCTACTGCTTCCTCCCTGCCCGCTAACATGCTGCATCCCACAAGACGACGCGCAACTCGTCGTCGCCAAATATGTCAACATGACAATGGCTGTCCTTCAGTTGCCATCACCCCTTTTTGACAGTCGGCTTTAAAAAAATTCAATAAATGGATAAAATAATCACCTTCAAACTAGTAACATAAATTATTAATAAACACATTCATAATTATTTCAACATTTATGCATAAATACTCAAAAGGGAAATGTGTCAGTTAGGGTTGAAAACTCCCGACACACTGCGATCTAAAGCGAGCTTTTAGAAGCTCTGCTTCACCTCCACCCTGCTTTCATGGCTGCACACTTCATCCTTGTCTGTCTGGCTTCCTCTTCCTTTTTCGGGTTATGCATCTCGCACGTCCTGTGTACCTCTCTCAAACCGCCTTCCGTTTTCAGTCCTACCTGTTCCGAACCACTTTGTCTCCTTTTAGTTGTCGTTATTTTCCCTCCCCCTCCCCATCATCACCTCACACATGAAAAGAGAAAACGAGCCTCTGGCATTTGAGAAGGTTCTCGTTGGCCCGAGCTGTCTACCTAAATGGACAGAAACCAGCAGGACTCTGCCGGAGCTCATTTATTGGCTGTAATTGGCGAGAGTGGAACATTGTGATAAATGACACGTCTAATTATGCGCAGCAGCACGATGTGATTTTACGCACTTGGTGCTAATTGGCTTCCCTCTGTAGTGCAGCTGACTTTATGCAGAGCCTTAAAGCTGCTTACTGTGGAAGGAACGGGGGAAAAAAGTGGCATTTAATTAACTTTCTCTGTGAAAATCTCCACAGCATACTCTTGACCTTTGTGACCTCTTGAATTTTTCTTGTAATTTCATTTTATGCACAGAGCTAACGAAATAAAATGCTTCCACTGATACAGTGAGCGTATTATGTAACATATTGCGATAAATACCATACATTGAGGTGTAGTACACACTATAGATTAGCATTATAAAATCAGACTTTAGCTGAGTAAATTGAAAACAATGTTTAGCGATGACTTAATTTAGAGGAAAGAAACGACCCTGAAGCTGGATGTGCTGCCCTTGGCAACATCTGCCACCAAGTGTTTCTTATTGTGGAAAATAAATCTCTGAAATCACAGCGAGGGGATTTTGACCCACTCTTCTCTGAAGAATTGTTTTGTTTCAGCCACGATCGAGGTTTTTCTACCATGAGCAGTTTGCTCAGGATTACGTGACAACATCTCAGATTTAAATCCAGACTTTGACTATGGAACCGTTTGGAGATGAACTTGCTAGTTGTTGTTTTTTTTTTCTTTCTTTTTTGTTCTGGTTTTTGAAGCAGTGAAGTGCAGTGAACACTTGGTTGTTTTTGGGAAGCTGTGATTTTTCGCCTAGGGAAGCTACCATGGTTGGCATTTTGGCTCTGCGTCTTTCTGCGATGAAATCATGAAACGTGAAAGCCCCAAAGACTTGGAAAAGGTTTTGTAAGCCTTTCTAGACTGATAGATGTCAATCACTTAGTTTCTTTTAGATTTTAAATATGTTGGGGGGTTTTTTCGCTCTTCTAGCCTACTTCATGCTGTCAGACAGGTTCTGTTTGCATTTTAAGTGTGACACAAATGTAAAAACATTTGAGCCACAGCTCCCTAAGTTCTTGTTATGACTTGATATCACTATCTGGCTCGCCTTTGTCTTCTCCAGAAATATGGACGGAGCTCTTCCCAGCACTGATAGCTGAGTATGCCTGCTGTGTTTTACTGGCAGGGTCAGGTTAGTGAGGGAAATACACTTCCCCAGGCGCGGAGCAATGCTGCATTGCTCCGAGAGTGCATGAGTAAGACGCTTTAACATCTTAAGAGAGGGAAGAGCTTCAGTGCAAAACAGTGAGCCTCTTCATACACCTTCTGCTCACACACACAGAAACATAAATATATATATATATATATATATATATATATATATATATATATATATATATATATTTTTTTTTTAAAAAGCCAGACTCCTAGTCCAGCGTTTGCTAAAGCCTCTTCGGCAAACAAGGGCTGCATTATCCAGGCTACCACCTCTGTCTATTTATGAGTGTATCAGCTCTGGTATCATCCAGAGTTCAAATAGGGCCTCTCTTTTTCTTTCTCGCTGCCAGTGTGTTCTGTGTGAATGATTGTGGAGGTAATGAAAGGCATCAGGGTAGTGTGTTAGTGAACGGTAATGACTCCACATTAGATTAGCGCTCTGGTTTGCATCAAAGGGAGGAACAGAGATGGATCTTTGGGAAATAGCGATGAAGACATTAAAGACAGGGCAAACAGAGGACACAAAGGTCATCATTAAAAGGATATGAAAGAAGTGTGCTTCGGTGACTAAACACTACTTATTGTCAGCAGGAAGCCTTGAATACAGTGATTGGAAACATTAGGTTGTAGCTGCAGTGCGTCCAGAATCTATTCAGCGCTTCCCTTTTACCACATTTGGTTTTTCCAAATAGTAATAAATGAATTTCTTTCCTCAAAATCCTGGGTAAAGACAGCTGAACTAAACCTGTGGTGTCGCGTTCAAAGACGCGATGCTGTGATTGCTGCCAGAGGTGGACTAACAAAATTAATCAGAGGCCGTGAATGCTTTCGTAAATGAGATTTCTTGGTTTTCTATTTTTAATAAGTTTGCAAAATACTCCAAAACAAAAGTCCACATTATCAGAATGGGGAATCTGTATGCAGAATTTCACACATAATTCAATACAGTTTGGAACTACGTATTAGCACAACAAAATGTAGAAAGCTGTAAAAATACACAGATAAAGTCAGATATTTACATTCACTCTATAAAGAGACACATAATTATACTCACAGGTTCAGACGTTAAATCAGACACATATTTGCCTTTTTTAGCGTCAGTGTAGCTAAGAAGATTTAATACCGCTTTGCCTTTAGACGATTCTTTAAGCCCAGGCCAGGTTATGGTTTCTGGACACACTGTACAGAGTATTTGAAAAAAAAAAAAAAAAGGAGACAAGCCTGTGAATGCATTTCAAGGTAACAACTTGTTAGAAAAAAAAATCAAAAGATAAGCAAGATGTCAAAAAGAGAACGGTTGACCTCCAAAAGTATAATTTCCTTCCTTTGTTCAAGCAGTTATACACAAGTCTGAGCAGAAATCATGCCTTCCAGGTGATAAATTAATAATCCATAGTGAAAGAACTCCTGCACCAACATGGGCAGAAAGGCTTCTCAGCAAGAAAGAAATCAGAAAAAAAACACACATTACAGTTTTGAAAAATGCTTTCTCCCTCTGCGAAGTACAGAGGGAGGAGCATGATGTTGTTTGGGGTTTTGCTGTAGGACTGCTGTGCTTCACAAGATAGATGGCATCACAGGAAGAAAACCTGGTGCGGAAATATTTAAGCAATACCTCAATGCATCTTCCAGGAAGTTAAAGCTTGGGTAGAAATGGACAAATACTCAGTGCCTCGCTTTAAGAAGATCTCCTGCAAGGCATGCTTGTTTTGGAAGATAAGGAGTTATCTGAAGAAGAAAGTACTGAGAGATACAGCCCGAGTTATGATGCAATATCTTTAAATGAAGATACGCCTCAGGCTAAATGAAAAGGTTTTCACATATACTCTTTAAGTTGTTCCTCTTTCAGAATGTCTGGTTGGATATTTCTGAAAATGCCTTCAGTAATTCGGATTTAAAGCTGTCTGCTGTATGTTTGTCATACTTGCTTCAAAGAAGTACAAATTCTCTTTCCATTACAAAAAGGTTGATCTCCTTTTTACTGCATTAAGACATAAACGACTTTAATAAATAAAACATACGTTAACAGCAGGTGTCCATTGAATGAATACAGTGTTACTGCATTGCATAAAGCTTCACATTTTCTAAAAACTGAGGATGTAATACAATGAGAATAGACCAGAGGCCAGAGGACTGAAAAGTTGTTACAAACTTTGCATTAAACACATGACTATACCAGGTTTTTATATCCTTATGGGAACCTATTTCTGTCTACAATGTGGGAAATGAGGGAAATTGTAGTTTAAGGGTTAGTGGTTAGGTCTATGATGGTTAGGCTTAGGGTAAAGGTTAAAGTAAGCGTTAGGAATGTGAAGGCTATGGTTAGGATTAGGGTAAGGGTTAGCCTGTAGAAATTAAAGGAAGTCAATGTGAAATCCCCACAAGTGATGAAAACACGACTCTGTGTGTGTGTGTGTGTGTGCGCACACAACTCTGTGTGTAGGGGTGTGTGTGTGTGTGTGTGTGAACGCACACACATACAAAACAAAGAGCTTCAACTTGATTTGGCAAAATCTGGGGCAGTGGTTAAAGCTCGCATCTTCTAATGGGTCACAACGTTGAGGCCTGCGTCAAAGGGGAAAAAAACGAGAACAACCACACAACTACAAAAATGTTTTTTAAAAGAAAAGTCATAAGCCACAACTCTTGTCGCTCCTCCAGGTCATGGTAGCAGCTCCCTTTGGCGTTTATGCTGTAACTAACTGAATTTTTAGTATAAATCAAGTCTTTAACAAAATGTCATTGGAAGCATAGAGATGTGATTGAAAGGATAAGGTATTTTCCTCAGCAGATTCGGGGATGAATGAAAGCTAAAGCAGATAACAGGAAGGCTGAGCACCAAAGATTTTCCTTTTTAACTTTCCACTTCTGTTTGATGGATTGAAGTGGCCCTGTAAACACTAGCAGCTTTTTGGAAATGACAGAGGTGAAATAGGTCTGTGTGGAATAAAAGTCATGACTGAAAGTCATTATTTTGTCTTTAAAATGCCAATGAAACCCTGTCTTCATAATAGTAAATCAATAGCTTTACAGTCGTTGTCCCCTTCCTACTGCTGTTTTATGTGTGCAAATGAACCATCGCGTGTGTTTATTTCCCTTAAGTACTTAAATGAATTCTCAGGGAATAAAACCACAAAAATACTCAAAACTTATATAATTGATCCTTTTCGAAAGCAAGATCCTATTACACCCAATTTAGTTTAGTTTTGATTCTTTTCTTCTTGTATCAGCCCAAATAAAATGCAAGGGATTATAACACTTTATCAAAACAAAATATCTAAACAACCATCTCCTGACAGATATAACTTGTTTGAATGACGACCCAAAACTACAAAAGTACAAGACGTCAAAGAGGCAAAATGACCAACAGCCTTCTTATATCTCCTGTTGTAATTGTTAAAAAGGAAGCAGGATGAGTGGGAATTGGTGTGTGCAGGGGAAGGCCTTACAATGAAAGGTTTGGTCGTTTTTTGTTTACCATCGCACACTGACTCAGAAATGTGCACATAACTTAGAATGTTACTTCAGATTTGCTCTAGCTTGTCTCCGTCTATTTTGGATGAATAACCGACTCGATTTCCAGCGATGCCAGCGTGAGCAGCAGCTCAACTGGACGGTAGCCGCAGCACTTCTGTGTTCACGAAACTCGCATGCAGGATAGTGTATGAGTGCACAGTCATACACTATCCATATTTGTTTTGTTACGATGTTGGGATTTTGAAGCCATTGTCTTTGTCTCTTTAAAGTTTATCAGCGCGGGAAGTCCTAACGAACTTTAAAGGAGCAGGAAACGAGCAGCTGCTTCAGAGTTGAGAGGCTATCTTTAGCCCGGTTCTTATCTCAGTTTTTCCATGTCCAGAAGTGGGTCGCAGCGCTTGCGAAAAGGTTACAATGCTGCCAGACGTGACACAAACATAACACCTGCAGGCCCCAAGCGCTTGCTACCCAAAAAGTAGAGCAAAGAGAAGGTCAGACCGCTGGAATGAGAGACAGAAGCTGTGCCTGCAGTTTGTCTGGAGAATCACAGCGGTGGATAGTGTTGTAAAAGTTAGTTAGGATGCGCTTCAGATGCTGTTGGGTGGAGAAGAGAGAAGTGATTAAATGCTGTGTGACATTTCACGTGAGGGTGAGAAAGGTAGAAATGAGATGCTTCCCCCACCACATATTCACACACTCATCCTCCGTCTGTCTTTCTCACACTTTCGTTGCTTCACGCTTAAGATGTTTTCACTACCAGGCAGGAACCCAGTATCTGCACAATACTTAATAAAATGATTGAAGCAGGCAGAAAGCTGCAGTCATTTTTGCCTTTTTAATTTTGATATTAGATTTTTTTTGTCTCTACCCACTGAAGAAAAATGTAAAATTATTTATTTAAACAGATGCAGCATTATTCAACCAATGTTGCATGTAAGCATTTCCATCAACACTTATTCAGTGGATGATGTAGCACACAGTTGATGTCTGTGACACTATAGAGCACATAAAAAAGTAAACAAAAGGTAAGATATTAAGTTGGTTCCCAACTTCCACCCATCAGAAATGGCATTTACTGCCAACATTTCTATTTCTTAACTTGAGCTTCTCAACTTTTTTACACTGACTACAACTTTTGTAAGAAATGTTAATTTAACCTTTATGAAAGCCATTATTTTTATGCTCCAACCAATAAAGTGCTCAAGGAGTCAAATGAAGGCAGCGAGGCATTGTCGCATGCAGGAGCCACCGACAGCAATTTCCATTAAAGCAGTAACTAAACAATTTCAAAAAACTCACTTATAAAGCGAATTTGTCGACAAAAAATATTGACGTCAGTGGCCTGTTATAGTCGAGACAATCGATTCTGTTGAATTGAGACATTGTTGAGCTTTCTTTGCCTCTTTGATATCTTCCTATCTTTCCTGCACGACAGGTAAGAATTAAATAAATACAGTATCTCGCCGTTGAAATACATCCTGTCGCTTAAGCTGAAAATGAAAAAAATAAGATATTTGTTTAGACTTCTATTCCACACACGCTCTACGAAGAAAAAAACACTTTATTCGCTTGGCAGAAAAACAACTGTACTTAATTGACAGCATTTTTTCTTCTTTCTGCAGCTGCTAACACGACGACTGCGCAGGCGCCTGAACCGACCAAGAATGAGACCTCAGTGACTCAGCTGCCATCAGTGTCCCCTGCTACTTCCAACCATTCCACTGAAGCCCCTGAAACTGGAACCAACGCCACAAACACGACGGGAACTTTCTCCACATCCGCGCCACATACGACTCCGTCTTCACCGAGTCACACCACACCTTTACATGACGCTCCAACCTCTTCTACGCCTTCAAACAGCTCCGCTCAAAATGAAACCTCCTCCCCCGCTTCTGTCTCCACATCTAACGCCACGACGACGGTAGCGACGGCTACAGCCGCTGGCACGTTTCCCGCTTCGCCGTCCAACGCCACGACGTCTCGAGACACCACCCCTTCTCAGCCGTCCACAAATGCTAATCAGTCCAGCTCTGCAACTACTAAACCCACCCCAGTCACCACCACCACGGCGCTGATGAACATCACCTCCACCCATGCAGAGAGTTCACCCCAGCTCACCATGCAGGGCAGCAGTAAGTACAAAATAAGTGTCCAGCTTTTGTCCTGGATGAAGCCCAGAGTGAATTAAAGCGACAAACGCGGCGTTGTTCTTTGTTTTCCAACGCACACCAGCACGTCTCTCCTCACTCACAAACACAAACGTCCCGTTGACGTCCTGATCAGGCGCTGTCACTACCAAGCACTACATGATTATGTGTTTGTTTGAGAAAGGGACAGAAGCGTCATGAGACCCAGGCTTTGACAATTCAGTTGTCTGTCTCGTATATCTCTCTGCTGTTGTCTGCCTTTCAGATGATTCGTATATCTGCGCCCGCAGATATACAAATACTCAGTTTAGACATCTTTTGTTATTCAGTAGAGGATTTAATCGAGGCCATCGGTATTAAAGTAAAAGAAATGCTTCTCATCAGTTGAGCTTCTATTCCAGTCAAAGTTCTCGCTTTGTTCTTCTCACTGTGTGGTTTCATTAGGCGTTTGGGATTTTTTTTTTGTCATTTTCCATGAAGCGGAGGAACAGCTCCTCGTGGTTACTGTTAGTTTAACCAGAGGATGTGAAACGAAACTTGTAGGTGTACTAAACATTGCTCCATGGCAACATCCATTTTGAGAACTTCCTCTTGCGCTAAAATATACAGACAGCAGGACGGAAATGTTGAGATGGTTTCCAGATCAATGAGAGAACTTTGTTTAACCGCATTTCAATCACAGGTTTACTTAATTTCTGATGAATATTCATGATTTGTTTATTAATTTTCACTTTTAATCACATTGGAGAACAGAAACACCAATGTATTTTTAGAATTTCATTTTTTACAAAATCAGCAGAAAGTGTTGTAGTGCAGTGGAATTGAAATAATTAATAGTTAAAAATATTTTTAGTAAATTTTGCTTGTGTAATTTAGCATCCCGTCGTGTTTGACTTTTCTCTTAAGATGCACAATAAGCACTCTGAGTGCTACAGTGCCTCTACTTAGCTACAGTCACAGATTAAAACAAATACATTTACTTTCGCACCATGTTAGCCAGAAGTAAACACTAATCTCACATGGTGGACGTTGCGATGGCATTGAACAGAGGAACGGCGCCTTACTGATTTCGTCCCTCCGACAGAATCTCATGACTCTCCCGGACTGGACCCCCTTCTGGTCGGCTTGGTGTCGGCGTTCATCATCACTGCCATCGTCATCACGCTGCTGCTCTTCCTCAAGTTCCGCCGAAGACAAAGCGGACCACAGTTTCACCGGCTGCAGGACCTGCCAATGGTAAACCGGCTGCATACATTTAGGCAGCACTGAGTCTGTCAGATGTTTTCAGGCTCAGACTTTTCTTCTACATGGTGGGCCTCCAGGTTCACCATTACTGTCCCAAACTGCTTCACTTCCTAATGTCGTCGCCCTTGTAAGTTTTATATTTAAACATATGAAGAATTTGGAAATTTTATTTTTATTATTTAAAACCATGAAACGGCACTTTTATTCAGAAAGTGCTAATAGCAGCTAACATGTTAGCATTAGCATGTTGAAATCAAGACCAAACATTATCTACAAGTCAAATCAAAAACTATGCCCCCTCCAGTCACAGTATTAGCAAACAGTCTGTAAATAGCGTATAAGCTAAGATTGTGTGCTATGCTAACAGCAGCTATTATTTCATCATTAGCCAATATGCTAACACTATTTAGTCACCAAATTAAAACATAATCGTATGGTTTTTATTTGCTAATTGTCTACAGTGATGCTAATAGCTCATTAGCTATTTCTTTTTGGTATGCTAACAACAACAACCTTCCTCACATTGACTCTGACAGGTGCCGTCTACCTTTGCTGTGTTTGCACCGTTTGCTATTTTGTAGTGTCGAAGTTTGGGAGGCAGAATGTGTTTGAAAGCCACACTATTTACATTTTTATTGGTGAAAAAAGGCATTGTGTATCAAGGCAATATTCAGTCTCTCTCTCTCTTTTTTTTGTCAGTTATAGCTCCACTGTTGAAAGGATTCTCAGGGTCCCAAACACTTTAAATTCCCAATCTGTTACCTTTATTTCTCTCTTTAAATCATATCTGTACAATTTGTGGCTACTGTTATACTTCGATCATATCGGTAGCCGATCTGTCCAGTAATGTGATTGTTATTGGGTTTTTTTTTTCTTCCATAGGACGACATGATGGAGGAAACACCCCTGTCCATGTACAGCTACTGAAGGCCCAACCAGAGTCTTTTCTGCTCTCCAAACCAGGACAGTAAATGCTGTGGTTGTTGAACAGAATCTTCTTAATTAGCACCAAACAGAAATCCACATGGGTAGCAGTAAGTGTATGCCGGGATTGCTTTTACTTACCCAGATTATCTGGACACTTAGCGGACACGGACCTAATTTAAATGGAAGTTTAACGATGAAGACAAACAGCCAGGAGGAATTCCTTTGGAAAGTGGGGTGTGGTTTGTGTGTGATTTTTATTTTTTATTTTGAAGCTGGGGGGGAGGGGAGCTATCTGTACATATAAAGTTTGAGGGTGTAAATATTGTTATGCCCTTCATGTGGTTGATAAAAGGTAAAGCAGAAGGAAACTGCTTTCGGTCCCATCAGTCAGTGACGCTCAGACCCAGGCTGACGTGATCGTGACGCTTCGTTGGGTTTAAGTCGGTACAGACAGGAAAAGGAGAGAGGGAGAGACCCTTCTGATTTTTCTGTTAAGAAATCTGCACTTTACTTTTCAGGGGTAAGTGATGAGGGAAAGCATAGATAAATTTTGATTCTGGGGAATATAAAAAATTGATTTTGTAAATAGGTTGTTGACATTGTGCTTTTAAGTGTTTTGTTTTTGTTGTTGTTGTTGGTGGGTTTTCAGATTTGTGTCTGTCAGTTGCATCCCAGTGAGGATCATTATAGCAGGGATTAGTTAGTGTTTGATTTCCATGAGACTGAAGGTTCTGTTGTCCTCAGGCATTTAGTCCGGAGTGCCTTACACATTTCAGTGGAAAGCCTTCCTTGATTTCTCAATTTATTTGTTGGATGAACAAAATTAATTTCCAGGTTTTAGCAATTATCGTGTTAACACCCAGCCAAAGTAATGAAGCCGCACTCTACACTTGCTGCAGGTCTTCAGTCAGCACCAATGGAAAATAAAGGTCAGACGCTTATTGTTAGCATTGCACATACTACTGATGTTGATTGCCAACATATATAGGGCAAAGCAGTCTCCATTCAACTTCAGCACAAATTTATAACAAGTGGAGCCACTTGGCAGCATGTTGTTTTAAGTTCAGAGGTATTTTGTAGATTTTTTCTGTACATAAGCCATATTTTATGCAAATATTCAAGTGAAAAGGGTGAAAATGTGCATTGTCTCCAGTCAGGGATGGGCTGGTCATCTGTACTTCATATCATTTGGTTTCTAATACCTTATGGATCTGAAAGTTTCATGATAAAGTATCCCCCTTCCCCACCTATTGCTTCACAATGCCAGTCGCACATTTCCTTCTCTTACCAAAAAAATAAAAAAAAAGTAGCATCTTGTAAACCTTTCTGGTAACCACAAACACAAACGGTCATAGGTTGAAAGCTAAAGGACAGAGCACCTGGCACTTGGATGATGTTATAAATTGATTTTGAATTCAGGCTTGACATTTCATGAGACTGTTTTAATTCTAGGTTGTCGTAGAGAAAGTCGTACTGAGCCATGCCTAGTTCCGATGCGGAATCAAACCCGACGAGTCTGAACTCGGTTTTTGTTTCATTGTATGTTTGCAGGAACCACTGACTGACTCCATGAAAACGCAGCAGAATTGTTGAATGTGCAAGTTACACGTATTTGTTTTAAATTGTACATATTCATAAAGCAATGTTACATTTTCCTGACGTTAGCTTATTTTTCAGCATTTCAATGGTGGAAATGGTCTCTGTGTGGCTGAGGCTGCAGGTCTTTAAATCCCACAGCAATTTATTCATGGATCAGTGTCATCATCACGTGTTAAATGAATATTTCTGCCATTTATAAGTCACCGATTACTTTTTTTTATGATTAAAGATGTTTTTTTTTTCCTCCCGTGTCAGACGTCTGCCATCGACAACCTCTGACTTCAGCAGCACCAACAGAAACTCTGTGAAAACATCTATTCGTACATGCTGCAACACATAAGTTGATCTCTTGTTTTCCTCTGAAACAGACATTTGCTGTGGGCGAAAACACAAAACGCTCACAGAGACTCCCTGCATGCCTGAGTGCTGTTTCACACTAGGCACACTGAACAATAAAGGGCAGCTTAGCATAAAATATGAAGAAAATGGGTTTTATTCATGCAACATCATGGAACTTCAGATAAAATGTGACACTTTTTTTCAAACAATATTTGCGACAAACCGAGGGTGGTGTGTACAGTGCTGGTTTAGATGTTTTAAAACGCCTTAAAACAAAATCATCTGTTCTTGCAGAATTGTAAAATCATCCTGGAAGTTGTAGAAAATCCAGTCCAACAGATTTTAATGGCAACCATGTTGTTAATACTTTTTATACAACTTCCTTCCTCCTATATGACAGCGCTTAGTCTAATATCTAACATTTCACAAATAAGGAGCATAAAGAGAGATGGATCTTTGACTATTCCTCTCCATACATCAGTCAGTCTCTTGCTCATGCTTTTTTATTAGATATACCTTCTTTACCTCCTGGGTGTGATGGCATTTCAAATATCGGTTTTCATCCAGGCTAGTGGCTCAACAAAAAAAGATTTCCAGCTGGATTTGTAAAATGCTTGGGGGAACCAATCGCCGCCGCCGCCTCCTACGTGAAGATCCTCCTCAGAGCTGCAGTTTCCAAGCCGACCACCGGGTGGCCCTCCCCAGAGACACCCCCACTCAGCTCCTCCAGACTAGCCACAAACAATCAGCAAGCAAACACCTGGTGGAAGTGCATATCTGCTGGACTTGTTATATGAACTATTTCTCAGTCTAATGCTTCCATGAACGTCTGTGAATGCTTGACAGAGGAACGTTGTTGTGTTGGCCAGCTTTAAAGCAGTTTTGGGAAGAGCAGCAGCTTCTTAAAGAGACAAGGGCGCTAAATTGAAAAGTCAAATTTCTTATAGGTCATATTGGTGGAGACAGTGTATTTATAACAACTGAAAGTGACATAATTACTTGATAGTGCTATAAAATGACACTATGTGCTTGGAAAACCCACAATACTTCCCCTTTAATTAAAGAAAAAGCTTTTTTTTATTTTCAAGTGATTCTTGTTGAAATCAAGGCCAGTGGTGATTTTGTAAAACAAACAAACAAAAAAAACAACAATAAGATGTTTATATTTAAAGCTGATTGGGCAAAAATGTTTCTGTGAGCTTATGCTAATTGAATAAATCATCTTTAGCAGGAAGTGTGTAAATGCTGCACAAAACAGAGATTTGGGAAAGTGTTCCAACTTTGTTTTGTTACAGTGGAAGCATAGCGTGTGTGTGTGTGTGTGTGTGTGTGTGTGTGTGTGTGTGTGTGTGTGTGTGTGTGTGTGTGTGTGTGTGTGTGTGGGTGGGTGTGTGGGTGTGTGTGTGTGTGCCAAACTGATAGAACAACTCGTGGCAGACATGACGGCACGAAGAAGAAGGCGGAGATCGACTGGCTCCTTAATATCGATAATGGTTTTCGATTTCTTTCCGCCTCCACTTTGGTCAGTTTAACGGCAGCCAAAAAGCATCCCTCACTGGATCCCTCCTGGGCTGGAGAGTGCACCATGGGAGGATAAGATGCCCATTAAAAATCCATTACTCTGCCCAGCGTGGCAGAGTAATGGTTTCCAGCATTGTGCCATCCACCATACCCAGAACTTTTAAGGCCAAGTCTGTGATTCTTTAATGTATGTGTAGACTATTAAAAAGCTGTCTAATGTGTTGATTGGTGAGCATCGCTGCTTCTTATCTTCTGTTCAAATAAAGACACCACTTTAGGGCAATTGGAACTTTTTTTTTTTCCTCTTTTGCAAACGACCAGGGATCAGTTTGTCTCAATGCAGATCTCACGGTTGCCCTGAGCAAAGTTGCCCACATCAAAGCGCCACTTCGCCCTAGCGAGCTATAATCAGAACTCGCTTTTTAGTCATCTCTCTGGAAAAAAAAAAGAAAGAAAAATCAAACAATGCGGTTCAGCAATCAGCCTGTCGCTCCGTCAGGACCTGTAATTTTTTTGTAGTCGGTGCCGCATGTGAGTGGAAGCCATTACTGCAGTGCTGTTCGTGAGGCTTTACGTTGAAATATGGTTTTAAAAAATAAAAAGAACCCGCTGTTTCCCGTGCTTTATCGCTGACCATTGTAAAACAAGTGAATGACGAGGTTGTTCAAAGCGTTGTTTAAACAGCTGCCAGCCCGGGACGGTTCCCACAGCCCCGAATTTGTTCGAACATGTGGGCCAAGTCCCGGCAGAACCTCAAACCGGCATGAACAGCTTACACAAGACCGCCTCACACTTCTGGCACGCAATTAAAAAGGTTTTGAGGGAAGCTGTCCCGTGTGGTGCAAGTGGAGTTTACAAATTTTCTACGGTTTCCGGGAAGGATTGCCCTACATTTAACTACAGCACAGATTTTGCCTGCAAATTTTTTTACTTAGTCTTTTAACGGAAGTTTGTTTTACTTGACTAATAATGACTTTCTGTCGACTAAAGCTGAAAGAATTCAGTGGACAAAATTATGTGTAAACTGCATAGTGGGGAAACGATTGATCAAATTAATCGATTATCGAAATAATCGGCAACTAATTTAGCAATTGGTTACTGATTACCTGGAGAGGACAGAAATTTCAGGTAAAAATGTATCAAAGGATATGCATTTGGTGCTTAAGCTGGAAAAACCCTGGGATTTCTAGCTTAAAATTCTGTAGAGAAATAAATATAATTAGCACCTTCTGCTTTGCCTTTATTAATCCAAAAAATAAAGAGATAAGTAAACCGTATTTTTATTTGTTTTTTTGATGCATCATTTGCTGCAAATGATCAAGTGAACACAAAAGGAATTGCATTCTAGATAATGCAATTTTTCTTATCATATTTAAAACTTTCAATGTATTTCTAGTTTGTTTTTTAAAGGCTAAAGTGGCTAGATAAAAAAAATCTGCACAATTTGCTTTATTTTTTGCTTGGTTGTCAGAATAATCGATACAATAATCAATTGATTTCATAATTATTAGTTGCGGCCCTGAAAATCGAAATACTTTTTCAACAATTCACTTGAATGATCAACACAAAATAATTTTTTTTTAGCCATTTATGGCATAAAGTTATTTTCTGAATATGCAACAAGGCTTCTCTGTCCCTGCTGAAGAAAAGCCTGGGCACAGCATGATGCTGCCACCACCGTGCTTCACTGAGTGGATTGTGCCTTCAGAGTGTTTGGCACCGTTTTCTTTCCCTTTCTCATGGAGCCTCAAATAGAAAGTGAGCCTTACACTTGCTTGTTTGTTTTTGCCAAATTTTATTCAGATTGCATGAAAACACTGCTATTTTTACTGCTTCACAGTAGATTACAAAAATTTTTTTTTTATATTTCATTTCCCAGCATAGTCCATTAGAGGTCTGTAAGACTCAGGTCAGATTCTAATTCTGGGCAAACGTCCACGTCATTAAGGAGATCATCGTCGCCGTCATCCTCCACGTCTGATTTCGGAGCGGTGAAGTCGCTCCGGGTGGACTTGGCGCTCCGGGGTTTCCGTCGTCGTGAGGCTGACAAGAGACGAAGAAAGAAGCAGTTAATTTGTGAATGAAAGTCACTGCTTATCTCCGTTTATGTCATCGGCATTCAAGGGTTTCTCTTTTTTTTCTTTTTTACCTCCCCCTTCTATCAACTGTGTACTATTATCCAACTCTCTCTCTCTCTCTGTGTGTCTGTGTGAATGCAAATGATTCTGATTTAACAATCCTAAATTGCTGTGGGAAGCATTTCCAGCACTGATTGTAATCTCTTCCGGGAACGTTGCAGGACGTCTCAGGGGTCGGCAGCATACGGCCCACGCAGATGCATGTTTCCCACATGCATCTGCGTCTCCCAGATGCACGTTTCCCACGAAACGATAGTTTCTCAAAAAGGAAACTCTAGAGCTTCATCCGCACATGTAGGAACACGACGGGACTTTTAACGTATTCCTTTGCTGCTGCACATCATTTGGGGTGGATTTTTCAGTTCTAGTCAAATATTGAAAACCTAATATATGTGATTTTTTTCAGGCCTTTAAATGTTGTAGAGTAAAATTAGCATGAGGTGAGAAAACAGTTTCTGGACTTCAAAGTGGCAAACATGATGCCAAAAGTAATTTTATTAACAAAAACAAATGCAAAATTGGCAGGCAAAGCTTTCTGTTTCACCTTATGAGTCAAATCCAACGGCATCAGTCGGAGAGGCTGAGCCAGGTGTGCGGGGGAGGTACAACGAGTGAACTACAAGTCCCAACTTGCTTAAAAAGATTTTAAAAAAAATCAGTCCCACTGTAACCATTTGGTCGAACCGTTCTGCTGTTTCTGAGAACAGGTTTATGAGCTTGTCTCGGATAAGGCTTCGGCACGCTCAGCTGTACGGTTCACCAGAGGACACCGGGTCCACTTCCACGACTCCTCAAGCTGAAACCACAAACCTCAATGTGTTGCACTGGGATTCTATTTGATACAAAGTAGTGACAGTAATGTGGAAAGAAAATGATGCGATGTTTGCAAAAGCTACGCCCAGAAAAAATTCTTGCGAAATTAATTACTTTCAATCGTTAACTACTCAGGAAAAAAAAGGTCTTTCTGTGGTTAACTTGATCTTAGTCTAAATCCGGCTTACTCTTTCTTGCCTACTTAGCAACTTAAGTATCAATAATTTAAATAAAACTTTGTACAGTTTGCTCAGTGTTTTCCGGTTCTGGCATGTGAGTCAATTGTTCTTGTACTTAAGTTATAACTTTAATCCCTCTAACCCACAAACTGTAAAATATGAATCATAAGTATTGGCAGCATCATTTATTTTTTATTTTTAAGAAATACTTGTATTTTTTAAAATACTTGGTAGTTAAAAAATATATATATTTGTAAGTATTTTGCAAAGCCTCAAAGATTCTCCTTCCACTTAACAATTACTAGAGTTGTTCATTCCTATAAAATCACTGAAGTCAAAAAACATGGAAAACCTCCGAGCAATGTGAACAGTTCTCCGTAAATTCCTACCGGGCTCTTTGTCCTCCAGCCAGGACAGATCATCAGAGCTGATCTCCGAGAGACTCGGGGTCGGACTGAAATCCTCCGAGTCGGAATCCGCCTCATCAGCTGCGCGTCCTTTGCTGTGGCTCCGAGGGGCCGGGAGCGGCGGGTCCCCTAGAAAGCGACAGATACCTGCAGTTACGTTGTGCTGAGGGACAAAGAGTCGGAGGACAAAAGAGGGACAAACCCGATTTGAGCTGTTGCGGCGAAGATGCTAACTCTTGTCCTCGGTGAAAGAGACTCCTCACTTCACTCTTCAGTTCTGACACAGCTGTCCTGTAGGAGAAACGACGCCATTTGTGACGCAAAATAAAAAGATGAAGCACACACAGAAAGCAAAAACTTTGTTTTTTCACCCCCCTCCCACCCACTTTTTCTGCCTTTTGATGAGGTTTGTGTTAGATAAAAGCAATTGTAAGTTTCACCGTATCAGTTTCAGACTGCTGCATCCTAAATAAACAAAGAAGCGTTACCGCGGATCCTTCCTCCCAGCAGCTGTCAGACTTCAAAACCATCACCAACAAAATCAATTTAAATGTTTACATCCATGCAGGCGTTTGCACAATCTGCTCTGGTCTTACTCATTTTTAAATTAATTTCCACTGTTACTGCACATCTGTTCTTCTGCACCGATGTGCTTTATTGTAAATAGTCGATATCCTTTTTTAATGTTCGATACGCATCATGCGCATTTTTGGAAAAGCAATCCGACTCAGTTGCACGTCCCTTTGATCATGAATTCGATATGCCTGTTTCTAAGAACTGCACATTATTTTTTGTTATACCCTTGTATAATATTGCAATTATTATTATTATTACTGTTAATCCTGTTTTTTATATGTCACTTTTAACACTTTAAGAACTTTTTATTTGAACCTTTCTATCTGCGGCACCACAATTTTCCTTTCGTGGGACAGTAAAGGCTTTTCTATTCTATTCTATTGAATTAGTGCAGAAAAGAAAACACACACTCCCTCGCACCTCATCTGATGCACCTCTTGCTGAGTGAGCGAA